AAAATCTAAGAAAAAAAATTATTATGGACCTAATTTTTTTTTCAGATTTTTTCAGGTCATTTTCAAACCCTTTTATTTTAAACTATACAGTTTTGTTGGACAAAGTGATATTATTTGAAAATTTATATATCTCCTAGAAAGCTATCACCTAGATAGATCTCTGTTTATGTGGCTCGTTGATGGCAAATTCTGAGAAAAGGATGACGAAACTCGGAATGCGTTGATGTTTTAAGTGTTCATGTTTACTGAAACCACTTCGTCTTTAGAATCTTTATGAAAGAAGATTGAAATTGTTGGAAGGAGAGAATGCTCGGCTTGGTACGGAGAATGATGAGTTGAGAAGTGATATGACCAAGTTGCAGTCGGAAATGTAAGTTACTTTTGCGATCTTCAAATTTTATTTCTAAAAATGCATAAATTTTCCAATGTCCCTGGATGACTGTGTGTTATTCTATCAAGCAGAAATATACCATAGATCAGAAGGACTTTACGGGATTTCGAGAGTTTTTTTCTAGATGAGACTAGAAAGTTATCTTGTCGACTGGTTTGAAACTTTCAAGTTAGAATTTCGTTCTAATTCTTTTCCAGCAAATCGCGGCTCTCAACAACACTTCCATTCCCTAACACATCCGGTCTTACTGAAAGCCAACTTCAAGAATTGTTACAATGGGTCAATGATGAAAAAGATGCAAGAGATTCGCTGCAGGTAACCCTCGTTTACAGATGCTGAATTTTATAATAGCTGAAATACCCAAATATTCCTTTTCTCGTTTATTTTTAATTTAAAATTTCAGAATTTGGCAAGTCGCTTACACGGGGATGTGGAATCGTTGAAAATACAACAGTCATCATCAAATAACGCTTATTCAAATGGTATTCATTTAATATTCTTCATATTATTTCGACCTTTTTTTTTCATAAATGTAAATGTGTTTATTTGTTGTTATTATATGCAACCTGTCTTTTAATTAAGAATTAGACTTAAATACCATTCTCTATTCATCGTTGTTTTTTATTATAATTTGAATATAGGTGAAAAGTCATTGAAATGCCGTTTTCCAGGAGTTCCAGTAGCAGTAAGCGGACCGGAGCGTGGTGGATGGGGTTCACGGCGAATGAATAAGCAGACGAAGATTGAACTTTTAGAAGCTCAACAAGCTCTACAATCAGAAATACGCGCTAAACAGCAGCTTTTGGAAGAGCTTAAGAAGATCCGATCTGCTTATTTAGCCACTAAACAGCGTTTAGATGAATCTGATAAACAGGTTACGTTTGTTTTTCGAAATCTTAATTAATGGAAAGAAATAACAGGGGGAATAAGTCGAGGTGATATCTACAATTGTGTAGAATGATATTTATTATAATATGTTTTGTGAAGCCACCATCTTCACTTGCTTTTTCACTCCTCATGAACCCCATTGTAAGTTTATTTTGTAAAGAGTAACTTTTGTCCAGTAAACAATATAGTATCTGAAAAAAGAAAGGAATTGAACTTATAATGTGGACTGAAATTTTGAAAGCCAAACTAGCTTGCCAAAAATACAGATTGAAGCAATTCTAGATTCTAACATAAAAACTTGAAAATTCACTCAGCTTTACTGGATTCGACAGCAGATATTGATTTTAAACTTTGGAAGGGATGAATTATTGCTTTATCTCATCAAGAGACATGAAGTTCTGGACATGGCCTAAAAAAGGGCGAAACAAATCAATCGGTTTTACCTTATAACTACTTTGATTGATAGAGTAGAGCTTCATGGGTTGTAGTTTGATGAAAATATCTGGAAAGGGGAGGTGGGGGCAGGGGGGACGAGAAAAAAAAGGTATCCACAAAGATTGTCAAGAAGTGTTCAATCCCTCTGTTGTTAGATTATCAGTAATTGATTGGGTTTGGATTTAAATGAAATTACGAATGAATTTCATCTTCATGTAAATCAAACAAAAATCACAATTTCTACGTAATTGAACGAAAACTCATCCTTATTATTTCAGATTGCTGAGCAAAATCGTGAAATAGAACGCCTAACCGACGAAAAAGAACAACTGTCCCGTATTTTAGCGGAGCATTCTGATTATCCTGACCAGAACAGCTCTTTTTTTAGCGTTGTTGGTGATGTTAACAATGATAGATTGTCATCAGGTAGAACGGTTTTATTATCCATCTTTTATTGTAGGTTGTCAAATATGAATACTGTACATACCAAATACGACCATAAATCAATGTTTAGAAAAAGATGAAAAATGCAGACTTGTAAACTATTCTATTTAATCTTTTCGATGATTATTTTTCGTTGACTTTGTAGGGGTCCGATTACTCGTTATATTTTTCTTGATGCTTACTTCGAAATGTTTTTATTTTAGTTCAAAATGTTTCAATGTTATACCGCGAAAATTTTGATAGTCCTTCTTCTCCAGCAAATGGAAGCGATTATGAAGTTTCAAACAGTTCATTGAGACGACACCAGCAATTGAAGCAACAGTCTTTTAATAGGTAAATTTCAATTTTTTTCAGCTGATCAAAGTCAAGCATGTGCGTGATAATACATTTGTTG